CCGTAGAGACTCTCCCTGGAGCTAGGCATCTAGGCTCTTGGGGGGATGACCCACAAGTCTCGGCTGTTAACCGTCACAGCATAATGACAGCAGATGGTGATCAACGAAGGTATAGTAATAGATTAGGAAACACACATGCATACACCACATCTGCTATTAATTGATGTAACAGTATGAGTTTTCTAGTAGCACATCAAAGTTATCCGGCAACTCCCAAACAGTGCTCAAATTGGACCCCATGGTCAATGTGAGCGCAAGTAAAATCCATCTTGAGATCTCTGGCCCGTAATAATGATACCACTTCTCTAGCACTTGCTTTCTGTCCTGCATTTCAGAGATTGCGGCCAAAGCTTCGACGGTCTTTAGGAGGTTTCTGATATCCCCCTCCTCGAATTCGCATTCATGCTTTCTTTTGAACCAGTCAAAGCAGTAACGGCCGAGCTCGGAATATATCATATCCCTCGGATCGCCGGAACCCCTGCTTGGGTGGAGACCTCGAACTGTGCGGCGATAGTCATCAACTAGTACCCTGATCGGTACTTCACGTTTCGTACATTCCCAAGCGTCATCATCATCCCATGCCATATCTAGCAATTCGACCATCGTTGACCAAATCTTCGAGGTCTTATCATATTGAGAGGAAAAGATAGGTTCGTCGCGGTCGAAGGCCCTCCAGGCCATGAGGTACGGCATTACTACTCGTTCATGGCCTGATGTCGTACATTTGAGTTGAATTGGAAATGAAGGATCCGGAACTAGGCCGGTGTTACTGGCTATTGCCTTGCAGAAATCAACGCTCGGAACCAAGGTACTGGCGAGAGGATGTGGGTCGTCGCTGTAGCGAACCTCGATGATAGGTAGATTGTCCTGGGAATTGGAGGAGACAGAGAAGATTGTATTGTGCACTAGAACAGCAGACGCTGAATGCTGAAAGTCCCGTGTGGAGACTCTAGATGCTAAGATACGGTAGACGTCGGTAGTTGGTATGCGAGCTAGAAACCGACGGTTTATGAAAGGGACAAGGCATATCGGCTTTCTCTCGCGCCGTATATCAGGGTCAAGTTCTTCAGGTTGGAATCTCTGGAGAAGCGTTGCCCAGCCGGATATGTCGTATGAGTCCATGAGCCGGGATGTGGGTAGGTTCTCATGAGAGAAATCTATTTGATGTAACCCTTCTTCGACGAACAGTCGAGTAGCGATCGAAATCGTAAATGAATCATTAGGTGAATCATACTTGGTACACAAATATGTTGCGTGCTGGGTCGCTGCAAATTCATCTTGTGTAGCGGGTTTCCGCATACTGGTCGTCTCCAGTAGGACTGCTATCACCCTTGTATCAATTATCATCCTATATATTTTGACATTCCACAGGGTTCATACGTTTTTTGGCTTCAGTGACTTTGACCCAACGCCGAATCTCACTGAACACAGAAACGAAATCAGGATCGTTTTCGTATTTAAACTTTGTCATGTCCGAGTGGTTCTTGTCGAGAGGTATGCTGTTCCAACCGGATAATTTAGCAGATGCAGGCGAAACAACCTTTGACAATAGGTTAGACAATCACAAATGCTGGAACCATATCTGATACTTACATAGCCAACAAGAGGAACTTCCTTTTGCTCGTAGAAGCAAGTTATGTCGATGCGCTTGGGCTCTCTCGTCTTCAGCATCTTGGTGAAAGACTCATGTAGAATGGCCAAAACCTCCGAATCAGTTTTCAAGACAACCACGATTTCAACATTGACGTTGTGGACGACACTGAGAAATTTAGCTGATTTGCTTGCCCAGTTTGCAAGGCTATCAGCGCCAGCGTGAGGGGTACCCAAAAAAGCTATCGCAATAGTGCTCTCAACGATACTATAGAGATGAGAGCTAGCCGAAGCCTCGTTGGAAAGCGTGAGACACTGTGCATATGGTCAGTAAGGATCGCTTTGCAAACGATCGACAAAATGTTCTTGAAGACTTACACTTTGCAGGACTAGACCGCCCAGGCTATGCACTACAAATGCGATGGGCCGATCAGTCTAGTAGGCTTTCGTCAACATCCTCTTCGTAGTACTTGATATTGAGGACAGTTCACGTACCGAATCATCGAGAGAACGTTTCGCATAGAGGCCATTGAGCAGTGACTTTCCGTAGTCATGCACGCGCCCCTTGTTCACCATATCCCACCAGTGTATAACGTCTGCTGCATAGCCGAACCCAAGTATACGCACATTTGGTAGCAGAGGTGGAATAAAAGTCTTGGGCCATGGCGCGTCTCCCTTTTTGTTTCCATAAGTCCACGTACCCTCACGGGTACCAGTGATACCATGGACGAAGACAAGGCTTTAGTGCATCAGCATTTTTCCAAAGTGTAACGACATTGTAAGAACTTACTCTAGGACAATACTCTTAGGATCGGATGGAGCTCACCATTCTTGAATACCAGTGGGGAAGTCTTTGGTTGTCCGTGGTGGAGCAACCGATGGATTTGGTGATGGAGTACGCCCTCTGGATCTGGAGGACAGGATATTAAGCATTTGAGTCTGGTCAGCTGTTTGCTCAGAAGTGAGAGCGTCATTCTGATCTAAACCAGACGTGGACCCGTGCCTAGGGCTGCTTGAGCCTTTGCCGAAAAGCTTTTTGAATCTACCCATTATCACCGTCCTGTTGTTGTATTCTCTACGACAGCAATCATCGTGATTGTGCGGGGGAGCTCAACGAGGTAGCAACTTCAGCTTAACACCAGCTGAACAGTAGACCCACTTATCATGTACGTGAGTACGCCTCTATTCAGCCACTGACGCTTACCCCTCTTTGAGCACCAACCAATCGAAAAGCTTGGAAGATACTTTGAAGTCTCCAAACGCTTTCGAGTTGGCTATGCCAGTGAATTAAAGCCACACTCGTCGCCTTAGTCTGCTCAATCCGCGTTGTCGTTGTTGTGCTCGAAGTGAGGTTGCGCCGATGTACTTGGGTAAATTTCAATAATCAGCACAAAAGAAAGCTAGGCCGCGCTCCGAAATAGAGAGAGACGATTCGCTTGCTTTCGCAAGATAAGCCTTAGCCGCAGCATAGTGCGCTCGCTGGGTCAGCCTCACTGGGACTAGATCTTCCCACCTACGTTCGAGGCTGCGAGTACAAGTCGAGACGGCAAGCGCGGTAGCCCAGCAACTACACGCATAACGTCCTTAGACGCAGCTATGCAGTTGAACATTCGGCTTCCAGACGGAGTCATCTTGAACAGCTTCACTGTCTTTGACAATGAAACTATTGAGCAACTCAAGAAAAGGTTACAGCCGCGCGGTACGTACCTAGTTCCGTTTCATACAATCTCGAAAGAGCACCACTTATTAACCATAACACAGTCTGCAGGTCACCTGAGGAACAATGTCTGATCGCGAACGGACGGGTCCTTGACGACGCATGCACGGTTGACGTTACTGGACTTTCAGATGGGACAACGGTTCAGCTGATGCTCCATGATGGTCTCGTTAAAAGCAAAGGCCAGTCAGCCCCAGTATCGGTTGCGATCAATGATGAATCCTCGTTTGTCGTCCAAATTAAGGTCAGTTGAATACGGTCAGGATTTGGATCAATCTGATGGCTTTAGATTGGTGATAGCATTAGCCACGAACAAGAAGTTGCGGCTGGTGATCTCGTGTATAGCCTAAAACTAAAGATTGAACACGAGTTACGCAAGTCGCAGAGAAGGACAGTGCCATTTGGAAGGCAGATATTGCTATACGAGCAAGTAGAACTTCAAAACGGGCGGAAATTGAGACATTACAAGCTCGAAAACGGTGCAGTACTAGAGATGCAAGACAAAAGCCCACCTCAGACAGCTCAACAGGATGTAGAGGGTACACAAACAGTATTCGTCAAAACGCTTACGGGGTCAGTGCAACTCTCTGGGATGAAACACACCTTTCAGCTAAACTATATTGTAGGACTACTGTCTCTCTAGTCCGGCTAAATCTCAGTACGACACTTGTTATCAAACTCAAGGAAGACATTCAAGATAGAACAGGTATTCCACCGGAGACACAGCGGTTGATATATGCGGGTAAGCAGTTGGAAGATGAACGGACATTGGGAGAGTATAACATCGAGAGTGAGAGTACCCTGCACATGGTGTTGCGCGTTCCAGGAGGAGGTGCGGTAGACTAGCAACACTAATCGCGAAGTGTGTTCGGACATAACGGTATACTGATGGTTCCTGCCAGTCGTCATTCTTCTGCATTCATCCTCTGCGTATGTTTAAATACTGCATGACAAGGTACTGCGACGACAGGACGACAGTAGTAATAAAGTGCGTGTTATTGCTATTCCGAATTGTCTTGAACGTAGCTGCGGGCGATAGTGAGATTGTCACGCGTCGCCGCGAGTGCGAAGAGTGAGCCATCCAACTGCCCAGCTCTACGTGGGATCACGACCATCTGCCCAGCCTCCCCACAATTTGTGGGCCATTGAGATATGGGGGGTTCTTTTCCTTTGATGAATATGCAAAGGTGAAGAATCAGAGTGTTGGCCTCATTTGCGCACCTGAGGTATGATTACTTCAGTTGTGCCTTGTCTTCGTCCGACTTGTTGCGGCCCGCGTGGAATCACCGCCATTCCCAGCTGCCACAGCACCTGTCCAGCCGTCATCTACATTTTTTGTTCTACTCCACACTCCTGCATGTATTGACCCTTCATTTCATAGGAGATACCAGCCTCGTCGATCCCGTAACAGTGTCCAACCCCATGCCTCATCTCATGTGCCGACGAGTGGGACGCAGGGCGTCGTCTCGGTGTCGCCTATCGAATCCTGGGCCTCACTGCAGGGAGCGCATGGCAGGCATTCGTGGTGTTCGGGTGCATCGGCTTAGACGTTGAGGGTGCGCAACAAGAAGAGTGGAGACTGTATTCGCAATGGTAGCGTGAACTTGGTTCTTCGGATGCTACCGAAGTGATGACCATGAGGCTGCCACCCTCTTCACTCCAACAATATGCGGCATCTTGTACCCCACGAGGTCTACTTTTGCGACGTTTGGGACGAGGTGGTCGTGGGCTTTTTCGAGCCGGGGCCGTCACTGTCGTCACCGAAGCCTAGGTTTCTGAACGAATCAGGGGCCATGAGATTCCTGTAAGCACAAGAATGGTCAGTAATACGCTCATCAAATGCAAAAGAAGGCGCGGGACAAAAACGAGTGCATGCGACGCTTTCCGGGGGCTGTCGGGATAATCTGGTGGTGTGAGGAGACCGTTGTCTTATCCGTCGCTTGTTCTGGAACGAGTAACGGGAGGAAACGTATCGCAATATATGTAGTAGGAAGGCGTTGAACATTGCCTGAGAGAAGGTAGGCCTGGTGTACGTACCGGTCCATACGGCATGATAGGTATGATTTGGAGAGGTTGCGGCATTCGGGATCGTTAGTCCCGCGGTGGGATTTGATGCATCGGAGGTACGAGAGCATAATCTCTTTACATTCTCCTGAGAGGAGATGTCAGTATGTTGTGTGTCTCTATTGCGACGACGGATGGGGGCCGACGTAGGCGGGATGGGTAGGTAGGATGTGAAAGTTGAGGCTAGATTCGCGTACCGTCGTGGTCGAGAGGAAACGAGCCTCGCTCTGGCCTAGAACGGATTAAGAGTGAGCAAGAATTCACAGGATGATAGAAAGAGGCAGATATGTGCAGTGTGTCCCTCTGATGGCACAATGCGACTGGCGCGTTGAGGGAAGAACTCACGGATTTGGCCTGATGACCTTTTGACCAAGTCCAGCGCCTCCAAAATTACTCATTTTGAGGTATTAAGCGATTGAAAAATGTAGTCGAGGATGTTTCGGGAGTCCGTGACGCGGTGGTCGAGTGCAATGGTCGTGGTGAAGAGTGGTGACTGTGGTGGAGTGAGCATTAGACAAACTTAGCGCCATTGGACTCGTTCGCTGGCCAGTGCTCTGCTTCCATCCTTGCAACCTCGGAATGACGCAACCACCATCGAACCTCAAGCACGTTATGGCTTGCCAAAGACGCGCTTCCATGTTCAATCAATTCATGCGTAGCTTACTCTCTGTTTGGAGTGCGTAGTACTAGGCTTTTAGGAATGACTGTCGCGAGAAGCCGGGTAGCAATCTCAGTTGACAGCGCTCACTTCTCGTCATCTTGTACGATACATACTCCATGAGGACGGAGAACGTGTCTTTGGGTCTGCTCGAGCCTGACTTGTATGGAAACAGTCATTGGGTATTTTTCGATCAATAACACATACTCATGGTTGGTCTGGTCATGCAAGCGCCAACGCGCGGTGGCGTCGTCGCCTGGGCAATGCGCAGGTGAGGGGTTGCGCCTTACTTTCACTCTACCACCATCGAACCAAGACTACAATACTATCTAGGGAAGCCCGACTCGCTGTTAAGCACGTCGCTAGTATGAGCGATGCTCATCAGACGCCCCGCCTGCCTCCTGTTACATTGAATACCTCTCAGTATTCATCAGAAGTTACGACCACGAGGCTGCCTACACCATCCCAACAGAGGTTTTGCGAGCCTTGCAGGGCTTTTCTCCGAGGAGATAGTACAAAATGCTTTGGTCCGGACAAATATGACCATAGTGAGAGTCTGGATCATGAGTACATTCATCATGTCGATGCGGAGTCTTTCCAGCGAGCTCTTGAGCTTCCTTGTAGCATATGTACTCGGCTCTACAAAGCATTCCAAAGAACCTCCGGTATAGTTGGCTTTATTAGAGCGTGTCATGACGGCTGACTTATTGTTAGAACGATCGGACCAGACCATTTATTTGACAGGGCCAACGCATTACTGTTGGTTAAATGACGACCTCAGTTTCCTGAGCCACTGTGGAACTGTTTGGCCTGGACTGGTACCATACGAATGTAAGAACAGTCATGTTTTGCATGTTTTCTATCTATCCAAGACTGACTCTAGAGTAAAGCAAGGCCTGACTTACATTATCAACATATCACTCAAAACACGGGTGATGCTAGAGCTCTTTCATTCTTGAAGGATCAGTACCACCAATGCCGAGAAAAGCATTCGCAATGTCAACGTATCGCACCCTATAATGATTACATGCCAACTAGAACCATATTTGTTGGATCTGCTGGGGAAGAAGAAGTACGCCTTTGCGATAGTGTCGAGATGATCGCCGGATCCGCCTACATTGTACTTTCACACTGCTGGGGCAAGAACCCGCAACATGTCATGCTGACAAAATCTACTGTGGAGATGCTCAAAGAAGGCATCGCTCTGTCTTCTCTGCCAAAAACTTTCCAGGACGCCATTGCAATAACACGGACATTCGGCATCCAATATATCTGGATTGATTCTCTGTAATGCCGCCGCATCTCTCTCTAGCCTCGCAGTCACTAACCATATAAAGGTGCATTTTTCAGGATGACTTACACGACTGGGCAGCTGAAGCTTCTCGTATGCGCGATGTTTACAGCAAGGCCGAACTCTGTATTGCAGCCACTGGCGCTGAAAATGGAGATGTTGGTCTTTTTCTTGATCGCGACACCGAACAAGTCACACCCGTCATGGTCGAGGCTACGTGGTCAAGGGAGCACTATTTATCACGCTGGCTAACCCCAGGTTTCTACCTGTTTGGCTTTAATCATGTCGAGGCTTATGAAGCCATCGATGCTGCGCCTCTAAATCAAAGGGCATGGGTTGCTCAAGAACGTTTTCTTTCTCCACGGATCTTGCATTTCACACAATCCCTGCTCTTCTGGGAGTGCCAAACATTTCTCACACACGAAAACGATGCAGTGTTGGAAAATCCAAACTTTCAAGAATTCCGGGGAATCAACTATCTCAGAGAGCAGCTCATTCAAGTTCAAAGGCCAAAATTCAGCGTTGGACCTATGCAGGATGTCACTCTTCCCAACACTACGCCAAGAGAGCTCTACAACGCGTGGTGGGAATTTCTGGCGGATTACACTTCATGCGGCATCACTAAAGAGTCAGATATCCTGGTTGCGCTAGTTGGCGTAGCAGACCACGTTGGACATGCTACGAGCGATTGCCTGGTTGCTGGTCTCTGGAAAGCAAACTTCATCGAAGAGCTGTGTTGGCGTTCAGACGGTAATATCTCGAAGCCTAGCGTCTGGCGCGCACCAAGTTGGAGTTGGGCGAGCTTGTCAAGCCGTTGTGACAATTTTGCATACTCGAACGGCAATATCGATCATCAAATGGCAGCAGTAGTCGAACTCTATATATCGACAAAGCCTTCAGGAGAAGTAGAACAAGGCTCAGCCCTCGTGGAATGCAGACTCGTTCCAGCCGCTGTGCAGTATAGAGGACTGAAAGGTCACGATAGATACTACAACGCCTGCACCACTTTAGGCAAAAAGGTTTCGACCTCGTTCTCCGGAGAAACTTATATTAACAATGATGAGTTAATCAGCGTCCAGCTTGACGTTGCGGAAGCGCCTTCTTGCTACGCTGATCAAGCGGTCGACGTTCAACTGCTTGTGCTCTTGAAAAATGGGGACGGCTCTATGTATTGGATGACACTAGACGGAATCTGCGTAGTGGGCTCCAAAAAACAGGAGGGTGCTTTTGAAAGGGTTGGGTATTTTCACGCGAAAGGTGCAGCCGCGATGTTGTTGCTGGCAGCGTACCACCAAGCTCGGGTTCAAGCGATCTCACTTGTATAATCTGTTTTCTTATACCTCGATTGAATACTAGTATTTGTCTCGAAGACTCTGTTATATAGCTATTGTACCGTGTTAGGAGAGTTCGAGGAGGCGAGTTTGCAATGGACTTAGTCTCAGATGGGATTCAAGAATCCTCTACTGAGGCTTTACATTGCCTTAAGAGCAGTTCGAGCTGTGTCCCCGCTGGAGGGAGACTTGAAAAAAGCGCAGAGACCCAAAAGCTCAGGAAGAAGTGATTGGACGGTCGTACAGGAATGAGTTTTCTCCGTCTTGGCGGACCCCAGGTTTTACCCCACATTCCGACGATCAATACCAGCGCTCAACATAGGCAGGATAGCCGATACCCGATGGAGGAGTGACGTTGGAGGTTGTAGATCTATACCAGACTCAATACCGCGACCATGGCAAGTAAAGTCGGGCCGCACCAGTGCCGAACATAAAACATCATCCCGCAACAAATAAGTTTCCATTCCATTTTTCGGGACCACGGTCACTCTGCCAGTATGAGGTTTGATACACTCCTGCTTGGAGGCCTCTGCGCCGTATCAAATTTCCCATACGCCTCATCCGCACCGCGCGATGCTCGCTCTACTCAACATGTCCCGGAAGTCAAGAACCGCATATTCGTCCTCACAGACATTGGTAATGAACCCGACGACTCAATGTCTCTGGTCCGGCTACTCGTACACTCCAATCTCTACCAAATCGAAGGCTTAGTAGCAATAACCTCATTCTGGCTTCCCAATGCCACACTTCCTAACATGATCCACGACATCGTAGACGCATACGGAGCCGTCCAGTCAAACCTGCAATCGCACAGCAACACCTTCTTCCCAAAAGTCGACGACTTGAAAAGCAAGATTGGCACTGGACCCTCCGTCTACGGCATGCAAGCTTTACGTCAACTCGAACAAGGAGCAAACATCACAAACGGCACCCAAATGCTCATCAACGCCGTCGACGCTTCACCATCCCCACTATACGTACAGCTCTGGGGCGGAGCCAACACCCTCGCCTCCGCACTCTGGACCGTAAACCGCACTCGCTCAGCCTCAGAACTGGAAACATTTACCTCCAAACTCCGTGCCTACGCCATCTCAGATCAAGACGACACAGGCCCCTGGATCCGTCGCAATTTCCCTAGTATGCGGTACATTGCCTCGCGCCATGGATTCAACCAATACCCAGTCGCAGCGTGGATCGGCATGAGTTCCACATCCGTAGATCCAGGGGGTCCAGACAACGAAATCGTGTCCAGAGTTGCTAACAATCAATCCAAACTGATGAGACTGACTGACTGACTGATTGCTTGGCAGTCAGTTCAGTGTCAGTTTAGAGCTCTCGTCTTATCAGTCAGTTCAGTTTAGAGCTCTTAAACTG